TTCGGGACGGGTTTATTCACTTACTTTAGAATCTCAACAGAATTATAAGAGATCGATCCCAAGTTTCAGTTACTTTAGAAACTTAACACTTAAGCACTTTGTTTCAATTACTTTAGAAACAACAATTCTAATACAACTCTGTCACCACACTATCTTCGGGTTGATTCAGTTCCGTTAGAATCTTAAACAAAATTGTACAGAATAGGCTTAACAACTCCTCCTGCTAAGACTGAATAAACCAAATTCTCTTCTGTCCTTAAATTTTCCTTTTCTAGATTTTTTTAAAACAAGGGGTTTCCTGACAAAACAGCATAAATGAAAGAAAACAGCTTTTTTCTTACCTTTTCCCCGCTTTTTGTTGGAAACCTCCTGGCTGGCTCGCCAATGTAAGAAAAAATGATGTGGACGTCGAAGATCTCAAAAATGAAGTTTATTTACAGCATAGCAGTGGCAAGGCACACGAAGCACCTTGGGTTCACCGGCGTCAGAATGAACCTCGAACTCATCCCAGCGCAAACATTTTATACAGTATTACATCTGTTTTCCCCCTCAGCATGTAAATTAAGCTTTCTCTTAAATGTAAATCAAGACAAACAGATTCGTCTTCTCTATCAGCGTGGAGCTGAAACTCTGTCTTTAAATGTAAATTGAAGAGAACGAGACAAGTGGTGCCTCCGTGTCTATGTCTTTGTTATTCCAAACTCTGTCTTTAAATGTAAATCGAAGGGAACGATACAAGTGTTAGAGTGATACGGTCAAATGTTTAAAAGGTGATAATATCTCTCAGAAACTCCCTAATCAAGATGGTTCTTGAATACCCACTGTCTTTCCCACTCTACAAACGTGACTCTGTGATACGTTTAAGATTGTAAGGAATTGATTCTATGATAAATAAGCTCTTTCAAGTGAAGGAATATTTCAATATAATCTATATTGGAGTGGAAGCTTGATCGGAGCAGACTGTAATTTCTTACAAGACAAAGAAATATTATTACCATTTAAAATAATGGATTTCAACTTTAAATATTTTAAAATGTATTAATATGTGGCTGGACGGCGCTTGTTAATGGACGCCTCGATTTTTATTTACTGAAATGTCCACACATGAGTTGTAGGAGCTATATTCATTTATTTATTTTTTCTTTCTTGCACTTCCTCTAAACACTGATGTTATATTGTAGATGCTGCAACATCGTTACAGTTGCTAGATTTATTTTACTGTGGTGTTATTTTACCTGTGACCAAAAATCCAAACAAAGAGTAAATGAATTTAGTTTCAGTTCCTGTGCTGTGAACAAATGTGTGAATCATCAGCTACACTGAGGGAAGATTCACACACACATATACTCAGTAACAGTTACCCAAGTGTGAAGCCTACTGGACACACACACACATGACAACGGTTAAAGAAAAGGGGTAACATGCTCATACGAGGATTAGCCTATTCATTATTATCAGTGTTGGAAACAGTTTTGCTGATTAATATGTTTTTGGAACCTGTGGAACTTTTTTCAGGATTCATTGATGAATAAAAAGTTCAAAAGAACAGCATTTATTCAAAATATAAATCTTTTCTAACAAATTTCAAGCGAGAGACGGGGATGTTGCCTAGGGTGACCACCTGCTAATAAGCCCAAGGGGGGACAAGGGGTATGTTTCTGAGGGACAATGTGGGACACTGCTTGGCGCGGCGGTGCCCCCATCCCACGGGAAGACTCTGATAGTGGTTTACCCCTATCTAGAATTGTTACTATTGCCTTACTGTTTGTACATGAATAATTGTAAAAAAAAAAAAAAAAAAAAAAAAAAGCACATACCTTAGCACATACATTAATAATGCCCTATTCCCTAAACATCTGTAATTGCTGATATATTCTCATGAATAGGCCAACCAATGTGTATTTTTTTTTCTAAATAAAATGAATATTTTGAACATTCAATGAATTGACAGATGCACTTCCACTTACGATTTACTTTAGCTATTTAATTTGATTTATTTTTCATTACAATTAATTCACTTTAAATAAATAAAAATACAAAATTATAGGATTAACAGGAATTATAGTTCCTCAACACCACAGGAACAGTTTTAAAAAAAGTCGAAAAAAAGTCTAAACTCACAACTCCAGAGGTTCACGGAACGACAAGGTGTGCTGTCATGACAACAATGAAAAAGTTGACATCAACCTAGTCAGCAGGTCACGTGGGAGTGGCAACCAGTCTTGGGGATATGTCTGTGGTCTTGGGGAAGTTCTCACTTTCTGAACTAGTTCAAAGTTTAGTTCACACATTTTAAAATGAACTAGTTCAGTTCAAAGTTTGCACAGAAATGTAAGATTGTTCCCATCTTCACCGACCTCGTTATAAAATCCGTTTAAATTATCATATGACGCCTTTGTCGACGGCGGCCGCGGTGCGACACTGGTGGCTTGTGTTGCCAGATTGGGTGTTTTTTTTCGCTACATATTAAGCCCTGTTTACGTTGAGGTTTAGCCGGGCTTTCGCCTGGAAGGCTCTATAGAAATCTGGCACCCAATTGAACGAAGTTAAACTGAGAGAACGTGCGTTCACAGACACCAGAATGAACGAGAGTAATCAGGACAGGCAGTAAAACAATACGTTCAGTTCACCCACAATATGAACGAGTTCATGAACGTGAACGAGTTCAGGCACAACGTTTAGCTGCCTGGGTCTCGAGGATATAGACTGACCGATTTTTTTCTTTCTTTTTTTTTTTCTTGAGCAAGCATTGATTATGCGTGACACGGTCTCAATTTGCGGGACGCATGAATTGGGCTTCAAACGCTGTGCGCGCACGCGCTACGCGGGACGGGTGGTCACCCTAATGTTGCCGCTTGGGTGAAACGGCTCGATTTGAGACAGGGGAATAACTTACATATAAGGAGATTAAAACAAAAACACTGGATGGATTTTATCATAATATGATGGTAGTGTACAAGCACTGACAACACACGTACAATAAAAGTGCATGTAGGCTACCATTACGACCCCTTTAAAAAACATTAAAAAATAGGAATGTTTCCAGACTTTTGAGAGTATATTCATCTACATATTACATGCGAACAGAGATTATAGATAGTAACAATACTCACTGTTGACAGCAAGTGTGGCGATCACCTCAATCACGTCCTTTCCAAAGCAAGCTTGTGCGATATAGAGTCCAGATCTGGAGATGTTCACTTTCTGAATGATTACAGACAAACATCCTATCTCAAATATCAGTGAGACTCCAGGTGTGTCCACATTATCACATCCTTCATGAGGAGCACACTTCTGTGCGACCAAAAACATTTTCTTTGTAGTTTCTTCTTCAAAAATGATCCTCAATCTGTCGGCTTCTTCCGCTTTATCCATCGGGAATGCCAGTGCGACGTTTTCTCCATGGTTCGCCTCGATCTTCGACCCTTCAGCAAGTGAAGCATCGACTGTTAAACAGAAAGAAAGTGTTTAGGATGACAATCAATGCTTTAGAATAATGAGCGATGAACTGACATTCTTTACATTCATTTTACAGTTACTACTCTGCTTACCTGAAACCAACACGAAGTAAAAAAACCCGAAGACAGTGGAAATTAACTTCATATTTAACACAACAATGCGGAATCTCCCAAATTTAATGCAGCTGGGTGTCGTGTGTTTTAAGTTGGTTTCATAAAACGGACTGCCTAATTGCTCGTGCTCACTAGTAAGCTTAGTAAGGAGGAACGTCGGCGTTTCTACCTTATAACCAAACCACGCCTTCCAAGCGCTTCTTAACAAATCCCAGAGCCGCTCTGACAAACCCTATGTAACAAACCACTCCCTCTCTTCCAAAGCCTCACCCCTCAAACGCAAAACCACTCCCCCCCCAAAAAAAACACTTTCGGCTGTGCGTGCGTGAGTGCGTTTCAGTTGTGTGTGAGAGAGTTTTTCTCTTTCACGACACTTACATATTTGGAAGCCCCTTTTCATATACTTTAAACATTATTTCTTCATCAATGCTACATTTTTTTAAAATATATTTGTATACATGAAGTATCCTTGCGCACAGAATTATGTGAACCTTTAGGATTCAGACTTCCCAATAGGAAATATTAAAGTATGTTTTTTTACTTTCAAATTCTAGCGAGAAGCCAGAAACATCTGAGGTCAAAACAGAAGTGTTCATAACATTCATACATAATCTCTCACATACACACACACACACTGTGTGAGGGTGTACAGAAATAAGTTTTTTAAGCTACTCAACCATTAAGGCCAGCCTAAAGATACAATAGTAGATCGGGCAATAAGACGTGAAGCATCAACAGGAAGAATGGGTGTTTTTATCAAATAGTTCATATTAAAGGAGCATTTCACCCATTGCAACATTAATCTTTATTGAAAGTGGATCATATGTAGTCAAAATGTAAATATCAAAGTGGAAATGTCAAAGCAATTAGCCCGAGTCACAGTTTGCTAACACACATAGCTAACATTGGCTTTCTAATATAGCTAACTTGTCCCATCATTAGAAGTCAACTCCTCTAACTTTCATAAAGCTGAGACTAATGCTTTGATTACAATCTGAGTTTTATTAAATATGTCCTGGTTCTTCATCTTTATAATGACAGTGAACGACCGTTTCTGTTCTGGAGTCCATTAAAGCAGACTGCAATCATTACAAACACACACTTCGGTATTAAAGCAAAGCGGACAATTTTATTTTAGATGTTTAAAATAGGAACAAAGAAGCAAACAACAAACAATACCACAAATACAATAGAAAAAATATACAACTTAAATAAACAGCAGTTTTTACAGGTACAGTAGCACAGGTTTATTTAATGTAATATGCCCCACTACCGACACTGAATAAAATGTAATATATATATATATATATATATATATATATATATACATATACATATATATATATATATATATATATATATATATATATATATATATATATATACACACATATATATATACATATACTTATATATATATATATATGAAAATATTAAAAAATAAAAAAAGTGATTGTCAAAAGCAGTGTATTTTTGAATATATTAATCTTACTCTATTAATCTATTAAAACGCTATAGTCTATCTATTAATCTGGCAACAGACAGACAGGGTTTAGATTAAGCCAGGATTAGCCCTTAGTTCAAGGACTAGCTTTTATAAAAGAGTCTTTGATAAAACATTACTGGTGTGTATCTCGAGATACTATAACGACACAGACATGTTTTTAGAAATGTGACGTCAGTGCTAGTTTCTTTCAAGTAAAAACTCAAACATGTATTTTAGTCTGGGAATATCTTAAACCTGGTCTGTGAAACGTTTGTAACATTTTTATTGTAGTTTACATTTACCAAATAGATCAGATACGCACAAAATCTGATTTGGACTGACATTGAACAAGGCTAAAGTGATTGTATTCATGTTAAGACACTCTGGTAACCGTGAGAAGAGCTTCAGCAGTTTCTCCTCCACCGTTCATGGAGACGGACACACTGGAACTGGATCCCGAGTCTTTCTCTCCATTAAAACACGGGATCTGTAAAGAAAACAACAGAAAACTGGGCTTAGTGAAAAACACAATTACAAGATGACATGTAAACCAAAAATCAAATTACATGTTGCCAAAGTTAAAGCTATATTTATACATTTCAAGCTAATACATTTAAACCACATTCTTTGACATCATTTTGAATATTAAAAAACAAGCAAATAACCACTAATTAACATATCTGCTATTTTAAACTGGTTTATAAATCATTCTCAATCACACATGAATACTTAATATTCAATTAGAGATTTACGTCGAAGAACAGCAAATTAACAGTACCAATAATAGCCTGTTTTTGGTGATAATAGTAACTTACACAGGGACACCAATTTATTTCAATAGATGAATCCAAATGTAGCATTTACATGGATGCTAAATAAAGTGATTGGTTTTGTCACAAGCTTTAATGATTTTTTGACATGCACACACTGCACAGATACACAGTTCCCCGCTGTTGGCACAAAGTCTACATGTTGTGCCCCACTGTATGGATTATTTAGGTGATTGATTGATTGATTGATTGATTGATTGATTCGGAAATGCAGCATACACTTAAGCCCAAGACAATTTTTCTTAAATGGACAATAAAGTATCTTGAAAATAAAAGGTAATAATAAAACGGAAACCAAAGTAACGCATTACAGGTAACAGAATAAAAAGTTCAGTATTCGACACAGATTGACGAGCAGTCGTGCTTCGGATCGTATTCGAGGCACTTAAAGGTTCAAGGCCTGCATAACGTAATTTTCGCCATCAGGTTCACGAATAAGTATAATTTGAAAGCTGTGCGGACGGACACGACTGTGCGAGACTCATCCAGATGTGGAAAGTGAAGTATATACTCGGCCTTTAGTGATACAGAAGTGCTCAGGAGGAACTAAACGCTCCTGGAGGTGCAGCGCTGCTCATATCCAATGATTGAGGTTTAAATGTTTGTAATACTTGCCATCCTGAGTTTCCAAAAGCAAACACCCCCAAAGAGGATAATAACCAGAGGAATGACTGTAACTGGAACTAGCCATCGTAGATCCGTGGAGCGAGGAGGGTTTGGGCTGGAGGAGTGTGGAGGAGCTGGACTGGAGGAAACTGGAGCTTCTGGAAGATACAACACAAACAGAGACAATTAGAGGATTATAAACCAAGACAAACGACCTTCATCACCTTAAAACATTAATTATTAACTTTAACAAATGTTACTATCAGCCAAACTTTTGATAGGGTAAGGGAAACTATATATTTTTTTCTCCTTCTTCAAAATTTATAAATTAGGGATGCACCGATATTTTTTTCAAAACCAATCCGATTCTGATAATAATAGTGAACATCACCCGAGACGGATCAGATACATTTTTCATGATCATCATAGATTATCTATTCTTATATGTGTGTGTGGAACTGATGATCAACCTTTTATGTGTTAAACACAATCCACTAAATATCCACTATTATTATATTTCTCAGTAAAGCACATACTCCATTTGTGCTGCATCAACGATTCGAGACAAATATAAAAAGTATAATAATTTGAGGTATAAGTTAAGCAAACGTTGACTAAATTAGATTCGCTACCCACTCTGGCAAAAATCCCTACTTCATGCTGCAGATCAAACAATGCGACACACCCGAGTCTTAACATCATAAACACCTAAAAACTTGTGTTTTTCAGGATTTTGTGAGAAGAATTTGCCTGTTTCAAGTTAATAAGACTTAATGAGCACAGTTATGACCATTCATATTGTCTCTCATAATCTTGATTCTTGTATATTACAGGCAAACAGATTTATAATAGTAATATACTCACGGTTTACAACAAGCGTAGTGTTCACCTCAAACTCATGATTATCAGTGATGACTCGTGCTGTGTAGAGGCCAGACCAGGAGATGTTCACATTCACAAGAAACAAGGACACATTTCCTCCTTTAACTTGCAGATGGTGAGGTGTTTCAATGGGGTCACAGATGGGGAATGTGTGAGGGGAACAGTACTTTGCAAGCAGAGGTTTTCTCTCGCCTTCTCCAATTATCCGCATTATCCGCACTTCATCGACTCTCTCCAGTCCAGTTTGGAAGGGTATGGAGACATTGTGTCCCTCCGTTGCCTCCAACTTGGACCCAGAAACATGACCAGAAACTGAAACTGATTGGAAAGAAAGAAACAAAGAAGGAATTTATTTATTATACATTAGAACAGTTTCCCAGGTTGTCGTCTTATGTTTTCTAACAGCCCCATTAGTGAGGTAGAAGACCATAATTGGTTCCCCAAACCTGATTTTGTATTATTTTTTTTAAATAACATGAATCACATGTGATATTTTCACATATAAGAGGTAATTTTTCTATAGAAATATACTACATGTTTGAGACCACAAAATTCATACTAAAGTGACCTGTTTTGTTCTTGCTGATAGAATTATTGCAAATCAGGATCACTGCTAAATCCTTACGCCTAGGGTAGAGATGTAACAAAATATTGAGCTCCACTATCCTGTCTCATCCACAATTTTTACAAAGCAATTACAAAGGCTTCTTTAGAAAAAGTAAAATAGATTCATACAAAAAAAATGTTTAGGCGAAGCAATATAGCTCAAGAGATGGCTAAGCCAAAATACCAAGTCCATACAGAGGTTTATCAAATCAAAGTTAATCAAAAAGAAAATGGCAACCAAACCATGGTCTGTAAACCCAAATCAGGAAATGGCAGGCAAATGCTGCAATACAGAGGAAGCCCCTTAATACTGCTACTACTGTACCACAACATCACATAATACTCACAACACCATCAAAATCTCAACATGTGTACAATGTACGTAGACTATTTAGACCAATAAATAACCTGAAAGTACTAGTGATGTTACTTATGACACTGAAGCTTTGATGTGGTTGAGAATGCCCTGGCTAAGAAATTGTATAATCGTTTAGTATTGTCATACTTTAATGGGTAAAATCATTTATTTAATGGACAAATCAAACAGAAACGTGGAAGGCTTGTATTTGTTCACATAACATTGAAACTAAATGGAGTGTGTTGTGGTTGCTTCATCTGGCTTCTGGCTGCTTTATTTTATATAAGCACCAGATGGCGCTGTTCTTGACACTCGCAAAGCTTTGAATCTTTTCCCGGAACAGTCAGGGAAAAGCCTCGATTCATGAGGCTTCATATCATTTTCCCATCCCTAGTGGAAATGAACTTCATATTTAACAAAACTGTGGAGAATCTCAGAGGTATGATCCGAGAATTCAGTGAAGGAGAGAGAGGGAGAGCAGAGGCACGGAGCGATGTGCTCCAGGTGTAAGTGCCTCGGGCTCGACCAGCTGATGTGGTGGCCACCACCGTAAGACTGTACTTCAAGGTCTGTGTCGATAGTAGCCGCCTGGGTAACGATAGCTACAGAGGTTTGAAAGCCAATGATAGCTTGGAAATTATTACATAAACTGTCATCTCCAGAGCACAAAACCTCTAAATGTTCACACAAGAGCAGCACTGAACATTAACTCCAGCCAAACGGAGAATAATGTCCAGTTCAATGGGCTATATGCACGCATAAGTTCCGCATTTGACGTAAGGATGCTCGTCCATTTCCGGTTGTGTAGATTAAAGCGGAGGAAAACCGGAGAAAACGGGATTTACACCTGAAAATATATCACGTTACGATACAAACGTTTATTTTATCTTCTGTAATTATTCATTATACTTTTGATTATATTTATAAACACAATTACAAATATACAGATATCTGAAAAATGCCTTTTATTGTTATTATATGTTTAGTATTTATTAAGTAGGCTAGCTATCCCAGGTGAAAAGGAAATATATTTAAATTGTACTTATTTTGATATACTTAATGTATTTTAAGTATACCGTATTAAATATGTATTAAATGTGCTAAATTGAAACAACTTCAAGTATATTAAGTGTACTTTAATATGTATTTAAGTTCAATTTTAAGATAATAGTAATATATTTTATTATACTAAATTGTGCTAAAATGGAACCATTTTAAGTACATTTAATGTAATATAATAGCACTTATTTAAAGTGTATTTTAATACACTTTAAATAGACTTTAGAAATACAGCATTAGTATATTTTTAGCTTCACATTAATGCGTTCTAAGTATATTTTAAATATAATTTCAGCTTATTAATAATGTATTAGTAGAACACTATAGGACCCACTATTAACATATTAAAAATATATTTTTCCAAAAACCATTTAATATAAAAATAATATATTTTAATGTATTAAAAATACATTTAAACATTTGAATTCAACAAAACCCAGTAAAAAAATATTTCTACAAAACACACAAACACTCTTTGAAAGATAAACTTTAATGCACTACATCAGTAAAGCATTATGAAAACTAAACAAAATACATTAACATAAAATGCATTGATTTGCAGAGGTATTAAACAGAACAAAAATAAATAAATAAATAAACTAACTGAAAGGAGTAGTTCACTTTTGAAAAAACTTTTGGTGATAATTTACTCACCCCCATGTCTTCCAAGATGTCCATGTCTTTCTTTCTTCAGTCGAAAAGAAATTAAGGTTTTTGATGAAAACATTCCAGGATTTTCTCCATATAATGGACTTCACTGGGAACCAAACGGTTCAGGGTCCAATGGCTAACAGTCAATTTGTTGTGAAAGCATGAGAATTGGCTCAATTGCAAGAGTCTTGTGCTGAATGCTTGAGAGTTGGCAGCCCTGACAAATCTTTTTTCGAGTCAATTCATTCATTTCGTTCATTGAATGAACCTAATGACTCAGAAAAAGATTTGTTAATTTTGATGAACGAGTTCAAATAGGAGAGTCATGAACATGCATAACAGAACAGAGCAAGGCGACCATTTGAGCTTATAAAACGTAAACTTTTTTTTTTAAATGACCGATCGTTTCGCTTGATAAGACCCTTATTCATCGTCTGGAATCGTTTAAAGCCCTTTGAACAGTTTGCATAGAAACTGTCTTTTGGACCTTGAACCATTTGGTCCCCAATGAAGTCTATTATATGGAGAAAATCCTGGAATGTTTTCATCAAAAACCTTAATTTCTTTTCAACTGAAGAAAGAATGACATGGATATCTTTGCATGGGGGCGAGTAAGCTATCAGCAAAAGGTTGTTTTTGTTTTTTTTTAAAGTGAACTAATCCTTTAAGTCAAACAAAGTGAAATACAATAGCAAAAATTAAAGTGGCCAAATCTTGAGTAAAAAGAGAAGTTCGTGACTTTTTCAGTCTGCCATAGACTCTTTTGGGGACATCAGAACCACCGAGGGAAATCTGGAAAGAATAAAAAAAACAAGCATTAGTATAAACTTGTTCATTTATAATTCTAATAAAAAGCTGTCACTTTGTTACTTAATTCAGAACACTTAATGCACAAAAAGTCAGATATAATTATTATAACAAATAGGATTTTTCTTTATCATAAAGAATTTTCTAACCATTTCTGAGGTTTCAGGAAGACACAGCTCAGATGATCTTGGGCTTGAGCTGAATGAACCTCGTTTCATGGACTCCAGGGCCTCTTTGAGAGATGATAATATCCCTGGAAGCTCTACAAGAAAAAATCAAGTTGCATGTTATACAAAGTTAGGGCAGAACAAACACTAGTTTGTGTTCTTCATATATAATTTGTCTTTTGTTTAAATGGTGAAACATATTTAATGAACCATTACTGTAACTTCCACGCTATTATTAATTATTCATTATTAATAAAGACAGAACATTCTATTGAAAGTTACAAGTTGGTGACAGCTGATAACGACTTGATTAAATGTAAAAAAGCTGAATACCACACATAAAATCATATAAATCAGTCCCTCGAGAAAAACACGATTATGTGATTGCATAATTCAATGCATAATCAGGCAAAATACATATTCATTTTTCAAATACGTGTTAATATATAATAGGTCACTTAGCTACTTAGCTGCTACATGACACACTATTGCCTTTTTTGTTGTTTTTCACCAACAAAAAGTTATAAATCAAGAGGATCAACTACTACTTACTCGACTTGACCTCATCTACTCACGGTTAGGTTTAATAAAAAAAATGTCTTTGCAATGTGCAAATTCCTTGGCTAGGCTAAATATTAAATATAAAATCTCTCATTTCATTATTTAACATCATTTTAATTTCTCAGTGCAAGATATTTAATAATTGGTTTTGTGAAAGCTTATAGTTGGTGATTACAACTTAATTTATTTATCGAATTGACATGAAAACTGACAGCCTACTAATAATTAATTAGATTTTACTATGAATTAAATATCACAAATGTGTAAGTTTTATTAGAGTTTAAAATATATTATAATATTTAAAACACAAGAAGTTACTTAGGGACAATCAAGCCTGTTGTGTAATCACCATTAATAACCTTTTTTTTCTGCAAACACAGTGTGCAATGTTTTTATAGTTGTTTTCACTGTCTAGATCTATAACATTAAGTTGATAGACGTCAATGGATAAACGTTAACTCGCTTTAGTGTCAAATCAACAGAAACGCCAGTAATCCACAGAACATCGTCATCAACTTCTGAAAATATTTTAAACTAAACCCAAAGTGAGAATAAAGCCATTTATACTAATCACTTAAACTAATAAACTTACCACCAAGAAGTAAGATATTTTCTGGCAGTATCTTGCTCTGTCCATGTCGTGGCGGCGCAGCTCTGCGTTGTCCTCTTCACTGCTAAATTGTTCGCGGGAGCTGACGACCTGGTAATCTGCTCGTGTGTTCTCTCAATATTAGATCGGTGCTATCCACATTCACTAGGTCCGAGTCAGTGAAATAACAAAGCAAAATTTGGAAAATACATGATTTCTGTTGAAATATCCGAAGCTATAATGGGATACCACAGACAGTCAGTATCCGCTGTCCGCGCCCCGCCCAACATGTAAGTTCAAATGGCAGTGTGTGATTGGACAATTGCCGGCAAGCTTGTTTTGAAAAGATTAGCTCTGATTGGTCCAAATGAATGCAACTGGAAATACTAACTAACTAACGGCCACAAAAAAAGAAACAACTCTGTTAATATAAACATAACATGCTTTATAAACAGGTTTTTTATTCATTTTGGCTAAACAAATGTAAGAGTAAAGCTTTAACAAATTTATTTAGTTTTTCTAGTATGTACCTGATCTTTTATGTTGATGTGTGCAAGTACTGGTATTCACTTGTTTTGTGGAAAAGACTATTTGATTAATTAATGCAGAAGTATAGAAGTGCATTACTTGTAATTTTTAAACTTTATATATATGTATATATATATATATATATATATAGATAGATAGATATAGATATAGATATATGTCTCAGTTGTTTTTCACAATATTTTTTTTAAAGCAGGGCTGAAGCACATGCTACAGTATAACATAAATATTAAAAATATATTGCTCTAGTCCTATACAAGGTTAAATAAGTTATAAGGTTACAAATTGCTATACACACAAAGTAAACACAAAAAATACTTTAATTTAGCAACAAGTATGCTTTCTGTAAATACACTAAAATTTCACTAAAACTATGTTTGTTTTTAGCATATTTCCAAAAGTGTAATTAAGTGTATATTTATTTGCATTGCGTTTCTAGTAAAACATTTTTAAATACAATTAAAATATGTTTGTATTTAGCATATTTCTTAAAAATGTAATTAAATACCAATGTACTTCTAGTACACTTTTTAGAAACATATTTAAAGCATGATTGTCATTAGCATATTTATTAAAAATATAATTAAGAATACATTTATTACCAATGTACTAATAATATACTTTTTTAGAAATACATTAAAAGTATGCTTTTCTATAGTGTATTTCTTAAAAGTGTATTTAAACATATATTTATTACCAATGTAGTTCTAATATACTTTTTAGAAATACATTTAAAGTATAATTATCATTAGCATATTTATCAAAAATATAATAAAGCATACATTTATTACCAATATATTACTAATATACTTTTTATAAATACATTAAAAGTATGCTTTTCTATAGTATATTTCTTAAAAGTGTAATTAAATATATATTTATTACCAATGTACTTCTAGTATACTTTTTAGAAATATACTAAAATGCAATAAAATAAATTTTTAGTACACTTTAAATAAGCATGTTGTAAATACAAATGTATTATAAACACACTATTTGTATTTCAAATATATTTTTAATACATTTAATACAACGTCTTTTTCACCTGGGATGCTATAGCCTACATGTGCAATACTGTCATATTTAAAATCATTTACTTACTTGTGACGGTGAATAATGTTGCCAAAGAGAACAGAACGATAGTCGAACAGGGTGAACCATGGCGACAGGAAATCCTCAACTTCCTCCTTGGTGATTCTGTAACATGACAGACCAGTTGGCTTTGAGAAACACACCTGATTGGTGGAGTGTGGATGACGGTTTCCCTGGGGCGGTTCCAAACCGACCGTGTTGCTTCTTTCCAGCATTCTTATTTTTTGTATTATTATTTTTAAATACTGTACAAATATGGATATTATTTTTAAATACTGTACAAATATGGATTTATGGCGAAATAAGGACGATTATATTCTCTTTTACTGAACTGTTACTTGAATATTTAGTGAACAGAGCTAAGACTATTGCTGATCAATTCATTCAGGTATTGTAATGTTACCTTCTTGGCAGATTATAGCAAGCCCTGGAAACTCATGGAAATTAATAAACACGTAAAAAGTCATAATTTCTAGAGAAAACGCAATTGTAGTTCTAAAATATTATCTTCAAAATATATGTTCTAAACAACCATGGGTGATTTTTTTATGTCAAATGTGAAGGAACATTTCTATGAATTCTTAATAAAAGATACAGATTGCACTGAATCTCAGCTTGCTAATTTGGCTAAAGATATATTGATATTGAGTTCACATGTCATGGAAAAACTGCTTCTAACCCACAGTCTATTTCTAACCACAAGTGCAGACTCAAGTCATCCACCTGTAACTTTGTTATTAGCTAATGTAGCAGATGTAGCAGATAACTGCCACTAGAGGGAGCCCGCATACAAGGCGTCCAGAAGTAGTTTGCAAGTTTTTGACGTAGGCGATTGTTATCAGTAAATGTATTGAAATTGTGTGTGTGTGTGTGTGTGTGTGTGTGTGTGTGTGTGTGTGTGTGTGTGTGTGTGTGTGTGTGTGTGTGTGTGTGTGTGTGTGTGTGTGTGTGTGTGTGTGTGTGTGTGTGTGTGTGTGTGTGTGTGTGTGTGTAAGAATTAAAGAGTAGCGTTAGTTCATCGAAACAGTCACAAAACCCAGATTCCACCAAACAATAGCAAATCTCCATTCACTCAGCTCTGATTATTTATTAGACACAATATGACAATAATAATAATAACGCATTATAACAACTTTCTTGCTGCTGTTTTTGAAACGCAGGCTTTACGATTAATAGCCTAATTGTATAGGCCTATGTGCAAATAAGAAAAAAACAATAGGGTTGTTTAACAGTTCACGTTTTAAAGTTGTAATATTTCAATTGTAGTAGGTAAAAAATAGTTCTATGTTTTGAACAAAAACATTAAACTTGCTAAATGCTAATGAAAGCTTTAATAAATATATATACAAATTAATAATTAAAAAATACATTATACAAATTTTATGATTACTTACTTGTATTGCAGTTAGACATGCTCGATAATGGTCTCTTTACTATAACTGTCTATGACTGAGAGGCTGAAAAAGTAAGAAACTAACGTGAAGCCCTTCCTTCGAAAGCTCCTCCCTTTTTGATGTACCAGTAGGCCTACCACCATGAAAGATGTGCCACCACTGGTCACTTGCAGCGAGGAGGCGGAGCCGGCACAATAGCGTCACTATATGCTAATGAGGAGTATGTGCTCATTAGCATATATATATATATATATATATATTTTTTTTTATTGCAATTTCAAGATTTACAAACAAACATGGCTGCATAACTTTCTTTTCTTATATATAGAGTACAAAGAAAATATAGCCAGAGGGAGCAGCACTGAAAATGGGCGTGGCGGGCGTGACGCAATGAGCGGGAGACTGGGGAGAGCGGATGATTCACACAACAGGAAAACAATGGATCGCAATGACATTTCAGACGCTGAGGAAATACTCGTATGACGGATCAAGCCATAAAGTTATGAGCCTATGCTAAAGAGAGCAGGACAGGCCAGGATAATGTCAGACACAATGGTCAGAGACAATGGTCAGAGACAAATTGAGTTGTGGTGTGAGGAGAAGAACCAGTGGAGAACAGGACAGGTGCCTTTAGGTGATAGACGTATTTATAGACATACACGCTCGCTCTAACGATATACACTGTGCTCACAATACTGTACAGATTATTATGATCCTATAACAGGCTAGCAGACATTATGTTTAGGGTTGATTTATACTATTAAATGTATAAAAACTTTAGAGTATATTTATATTGTAGGCTACTAAAAGCACTCAGGTAAAATTTTAATAGGCCTAGGCCTACATAGCCTATTTTTCACCTGGGTTATAACATAAACAGAAAATTAAAGATTTGAGTATTTAAACAACCCATTTTGTTTTTCAATTTCAAGTTGCCTCTATTTAGGGCATGACAAGACTAAGTTACCTATATCACACTATTTGATGCCATTGGTATAGTATACGACGATCAATATTCTTGCTTCGGCATCTCATGTTGATCGCCGGGATGATAATCATTTGATCTGAAGTGAACGCTACACACGACCGCGTTTTCCGAAGCCGATGCAGAAGAGAAATCCCGTCTCTTCACCTGCTCAAACAGCAGGAACGAAAGAAAGGCTATAGCACCGTCCCTTTTCTTGTAATGGAAACTTGTGGACTCGACCTTGGAAGTACTGACAGGCCTGAGTTTATGCAATCCCCACAAACACAATAATTTACCATGACGTTGATAAATTAAAATACAAAAAGTACCGAAAGCACACTGACAGATGACCGCGCTCACTGAATACCAGCCTACTCTTCACTCACTGAGCCGAGGCTGCGGCTCCCTGATATTACGTCAAATGACGCGATGTTGAAAAAAAAGCCGTTTTTACTAGCAGTCCAAGAAACGCTCACTTTATCTACTTAAATTGGTGCCCTTGTGTTGTTTAAAAACATTTTAAATCCTGCATTAATTTTTCATATGGTATTTTCATACAAGGATATCTATTTCGATTTTTTTACCTGGAATATGCTCTTTAATAACATGAGCAATATAATCCGAACTGTTCATAACATTACATTAAAACAGTCAGTCTGAAAGAATGCAAGATCCATGCTCATTTTCTCATAATTAACTCAACATAGGAGAAACGTATCTTATAACTTCGTGAGCTTTATCTTCAAAACGGCTAACTTTGTGTCTGGAAATAGTGATCTATGACATGATTTTATTGTGTTTATTATCCTATCTTTTTATTTTTTATTTCAGGCTTCTATGTGTTTACAAGTGGTTTGTTTATGGGGTACTCTTGCCGAGATATATTCCTTCCAGTTAGCATGGCATGCCGGACCTCAAGATGTTCACACTTTGCTGCAAAATAATTTTTGCTGCCGCTATAGGGTCCGTCTAGATATACCTTCCAGTGATAAAGGAAGTAGGGAGGGGAAGTGCACCCGGGATTTTCTTTTTTTTTCTTTTTTTTTTTTTTTAGATGATTCATCCGTGACACTTTTTTCGATTTGTGTGTGTGTGTGTGTGTGTGTGTGTGTGTGTGTATAAGGCTATGCTGTTGTGTAAAGCAGACATAGCCCTTAAACAAGTGCTTATAACTGTGACTGTCACGGTGTGTGTTGTGAATATTCACCAAATTAAATCATTTAGAAAGCATGCACCCTCAGATTTCAAACTTCATTTGTTTTAACATCACTCATGTATTCAGTGCAGCCGTGTCTCGATTTAATGTTCGTTCGATACTGTTGGATTTTAAAAGTAATATTCAATGTTACACGCGCAACGCATGAGCATTTGCAGGTCTGTGTTATTGCAGTGTCAGTCTAATGGTTTTAATACACCATCAACTTATGGCAAAGTCAAAACATGTAAAAACGCAGCTTTAAAATCTAATGGCACTGGACTTAGTACAAAATAACGTCAAAGCTATAATTTATTAAATTTAAAGTACAATGGAGAATCTTAACAACTGGTGTTAATTTCTTAGTGCCACTTCCTGGCGTCACATTTCTAAAAGCCGTATAAAACCCTCCATGCAAACTATGTGGCTTTTCAGTAGGCCAGTCCTTCAGTATTCCGTATTTCAGTATTCCGAACCATATTGAAAGTTTCATAACATTTATAGCCCAGCGTTCTTTGTGAAAAAAACAACAACAAACAAAAAAAAAACAACAACATTTTGACATCAATTGTAAAAACTGCAAAATGTTTTCGAAAAAGCAATAGAAATTAAATTCTACCGTTTATGTTTTGACACAGCGCGAGTGTGACTCACGAGATATCTTTCTTTTTCTTTTTCTTTTTTTGACTCAGATCCAAATTCCTGAGTTCGCTTTACAGAAACGGAGACGAGGCGTCAATGATTGACTTATGGCTTTACGAATTACAGCGCGAGTAGGCTACATGATATTGTGGGCGGGACTCAGAATCAGCATAAACTGAGGCAGTCTGTACCCATTGACAGTCGGTAATACCAACCGCAAGACCTACTCAAGTTGAAACTCCCGGGTACATCTATCATGCAGAACCCCTCGACAACAAGTGAGTTATTTCAAACAGTTACATGTAACAGAAAATCTACACACATGTAGTCATACATGACTACATGTGTGAAGATTTTCTATTTAATAATAATCAATGCTGAGAGAAAGATTTGTTTGGTGTTAGCGTAACTGAGGCTTAGAGTTTTTGGCAACACTTTACAATAAGCTTTCATTTAGGCTAGTTATTTAACGATGATGACTTCTACATGCATTTATTAATATTAGCCTAGTTCATGTCAATTTCAACATCTAGCCTACTAGTTCAGAAATTAACATTTGTATTTTAGTAACAAGGATTAATAAAAGTTGTAAATAATATTGATAATTGTTAGTAAATGTTAATACATTAAACAATGTAACTGCAACTGCAGTGTCAAGTAGTCTGAAGATGCCGATGCTTTCGTCATCCATACAACCATTCGTCATTGCCCACACACACACACACACACACACACACACACACACACACACACACACACACACACACACACACACACACACACACACACACACACACACACACACACACACACACACACACACACACTAGATGGCGCTAGACTTTCACCGTGTCTCTGTTCCTGTATCTGTCCCTGTCCAGACTCTTGCGGCTGGTGTGTGTGTTCATCAGTGTCCTGCTGTCTGTCTGCTCTCTGGAAGATCATGAGGACTTCTGTTTGTTCCTCTGACGGTATGATTATTCTTTATTAATTATATTAAACAACATATTATTCATTTATTAACACACTCGCGCTCAAAACATGAGTTTAGTGTCATTTGTTTCTGAATGAAGATCTGCACTGAAATAATAGAGTGTGTTTAAGTTGATGTTCATCTTTTGTAGAAATGGATAATGTTCCTCTCTCTGTAGAGGAGACCCGAGCAGAACCGGCCCTGAGTTCAGTGCGGCCATGTTCACTCACACACGAGGAAGAGTGTGTGTGAGCGATGATGATGATGAAGAAGAGCAGCAGGACAGTCAGCTACAAATTCACATTTTTATTGATTTCAAAAACTTTGGACGAAACAAGCGTCAATCATTTTTACATAGCCTAATAAATTCATTAAATATATATATAATTCAATAAAGCAGATCTGTTTATAAGCACTAGTTATAACTTATTGTAGTAAATATTTTTGTGTAAAGTTTCAATAAACTCCACCTGACTTAGAGTTTTGCATTGCCCGATGCGATATTAATGTATAGTCTAATAATAATTAGAAACAAAATTCGTCTGCATGAGAGTTCAAGTCAAAAGCCACAGCTGTAAAAGTGAGTTTAGAGCCTATGGTTTAGAGTTTAGCACTGAGAGACCAACAGAACCTGAATTTGTAAAGTTGGGATGGTTGTTTTATTCCCAGCGATGTGAAAAGTGTTGCCATTTATTGCACACTTTCCCCCGAAATCATAATGCACGAGCGTATATGCAAGCAAACGCGCTCTATCAGTCGAGCCGATAGTGTACTGACAAAGCCTGAAATCTTTTACAAGTGGAAGTGGAAGTTGTGCATCTGAACACTGCTATATTAAATTTAATATCAAGACCAATAGTTGTCAGCAACTGACTTCAATGACATATTGCACTGTGTTTCGGGAAGTGTGAAGATCTAAAAATAAGTCAAATTGCAACACTGGACTGAAAATATATCAAAATGAACAAGGAAATTGAATTGTTGAAGTACTTTCTTGTTGAAATATTTCCCTTTTCTGAAACTACGTTTGCTGTGATGACAGTGTGAGCAGAATAACCACAAAGCGAGTGCGATGACCAATTTCGCTTCTGTAAAACCAAGTATGAGGACACTGCGAGTGCACTGTGGTGGTGTGCACATGTTTTGGTTCAGGCCACTTCACATTAATTTGACACATCATAACCTGGCAGCATCCTGTACCACACAAAAACGATTTGACAACTTCATCACAACCACAAGCGGTCTCTGAGATAAA